CTGAGAGAGAGAGAGAGAGAGCGTGAGCAGGGGAGGGTCAGAGACAGAGGGAAGACACAGAATCTGAAACAGGTTCCAGTCTCTGAACTGGTTGTCAGCACAGAGCCCGACATGGGGCTTGAACCCACGAACCGTGAGATCATGACCTGAGCCAAAGTCAGACGCTTAACCGACTGAGCCACCCAGGCGCCCCAGTATAACTTTCTTTTATTATTTTTTTTAAATTTTTTCTAACGTTTTTTAAATTTATTTCTAGGAGAGAGAGAGAGACAGCGTGAGCAGGGGAGGGTCAGAGAGAGAGGGAGTCACAGACTCTGAAACAGGCTCCAGGCTCTGGGCTGGCAGTCAGCACAGAGCCTGATGCGGGGCTCGAACCCACGAACCGCGAGATCATGACCTAAGCGAAAGTCGGACGCTTAACCAACTAAGCCACCCAGGCACCCCAACTTTCTTTTAAAAAAGGAATAAGACAATTATCTCCTCCATTACCACCACTATCCAACATTTCACAGAAGGTCTTAGCTAATACTATAAGACAAGAAGAAGACATGAGTGGTATAACTATTGCACAAGGTGACATGACACTACTATTATCTGCAGGTGACTTAGTTATCTGCTAAGAAAACAAACTAGAAAGAGGGAGGTAGAAGATCAGTATCAACAACTTTCCCATATACCAGAAATACCAATTTTAAAGGATCATAGAGTAAAGATCTCACTGACAACAGCAACCAGACTTATAAAATTCCCATGAATAAACCCTTCATGGAGGGAAGTATAAAGCTTTCCTGTGGACAGGACAGAAGACTTCCCTAAAGAGATATGTCAAGTTCATGAACTGAGAGACCTAATATTGTAAAAATGTTATTTCTCCCCAACTCAATAATTTTAATGGAACCCAGTTAAAATGTTGATTTTTCATGGAATTACATTCATCACAGGAATAAATCATGCAATAACAGAATAGCTCAGGTTTTTCTTTAATAGAAAAAGGGAGAAGGGATTTATTCTCTATATTAAGACATGTTATAAACCTGCAGTAATCAAAATGATGAAATTGATGCAAAAATGGATATTTAGGTAAAACTAGAGAGTCCATAAAACAAGAGAGGTCCCATGCATATATGAGAATTTTTTATATGATTGGGATAGCATTTCAAAACATGTATAATAGTTAAGAAATGGTTTGAAAAATAAAAGGTTGAGCAGCAATAGCTATCCATACCAAAAAAAAAAAAACAAAAAACCCAAAAACCTAAACTAAATTCCTCCATGATATCATACATACCAACAAATTCCTGTTGGATTTAAAAATAGCACAAAAACAAAACTTAATAATATCGGAGGGAAAATATTACAAAAATTTCTTGATTTCTCTATTATCCAGAAATCTTGATTTTCACAGAACCAACAAAGTCGGTTAACTAAAGCAGAAACGATTTGTGGGCAGGAAGCAACAACTTAACAAATAGGTAGGAAGCTGCAGAAAAAGGCAAGAACCCAAAGTCCTTCTTAAATATGACACAAAAGGGGAGAAATATGACACCAAGAAAGAGTGATAAATTTGATTGTGTGAAATTTATAAAGAACTTGTAGAAACAGTAAGGATAGGATTTGCTACACCCATTTTGGAGGACCATCTGGCAGCATCTAAGGAAAGCCGTGCTCAGCCAACGATATCTAGTAAGTTCCACCTCTGGAGAAATAGACACATTTGTGCCCAAGGAGACATGGCTGAGAGTGGGCAGTGTGGCCTTATCTGTACTTCCGAGAAACAAAAAGGCCTAAACGTCTGTCAGTAGTGGAAGAGATAAAACAGAACATGAGTGGCTCATAAAAGGAATGTGACATCACAGATAGAAAGATCTAGAAGACTGGGGGGAGGGAAGCAAATTTAGAATAATACAGGCAACATTATGCCATTTTTGTTTTTGTTTTTGTTTTTAAAAGGAAATTTTTTTAATGTTTTATTTATTTCTAGGAGAGAGAGAGAGAGACAGCGTGAACAGGGGAGGGTCAGAGAGAGAGGGAGTCACAGACAGAAACAGGCTCCAGGCTCTGAGCTGGCAGTCAGCACAGAGCCCGACGCGGGGCTCGAACCCACGAACTGCGAGATCATGACCTAAGCGAAAGTCGGACACTTAACCGACTAAGCCACCCAGGTGCCCCAACATTATGCCATTTTTGTAAGAAAATACAGAACGTCACTGCATTTTGTGTTTTGTTTCTTTTTCTTTTAGAGGGGGCTGGAATGGAGAGATAGTAATATTTCAGCTTTATAATGCTCTACTTTTTTTTTTTAAGGTAATGCTTAAGTATTTAACAAAGAGAAATGAGCATGGCCCACGAGGTCCCATCTGACACCATGTTCCTACTTCCTCTCAGAGCTTCGTCCAGAGTTGCTTCCCAGTGCCTCAGGACCTTTGCATGTGATGTTTCCTTTGTCCAGAATCTTGCCCCTCCTTTCCTCACCTATTTACACTGTCAGTTCCTTTGGATTTCTCTGAGAAAGCCACTTCCTCAGCAGTGCTTTCTCAGGGCCTCGACCTAGGTCGAGCTCCTGGCCTTCGGAGAGCTAACCTTTGAGCTTAATTACAAATGCATTTTGTGATTATGAACTCTAGCTGTATGAGAAAGAGGCAGTGTCACGCTTGTTCCTGACTGTGCCTGAACACCTCACTTCAGGTCTGGTAGAGCAGCCATTCGAGAACTACTGTTCAGAAGCATTAAAGCCCACAGCCTAGAAGAATAGGACTGTGTACTTACCGAAAACAGTTGCATCCCGAGGCCTCTAACCTGACACAGCCCAAAACACTGCCGCTTCCCTTCTGCAACTGCAGCCCCCTCGGAGGTTCTCTGCGCCTGGCTGCTGAAGGCTGAGGCCACCCAGGAACGTTCCTAATTCTCTGCCCTTCGTATCTAATCAGCCTCCCCACCTGTAGATCCGACTTCTCTCCACTCCCACAACCTGACCCCAACCGCCAGGCTAATGCCACGGCCGCACTCCAGGCCCCAGCCGAGCCGCGTCCCCATGGCTTCCCGAGCCAACCTAACCACGGCCCTCAGCTGCCCGTCACCTAGCACCGGGCTCACCTGTAGAGCTGACCCGGTTTGCGAGGGGCTCAGGGGTTCTGGGACACACCAGGCTAGTCGGTCCCCCCGCTCCTCTGCTAGGTAGTAACCCCCGTGAGGGCAGGAGTCATGTGGGGCCTGTACCGTCGCCCGTGCCTGGCCCAGTAAGGTCCTTTGTAACTGGTGGTTTGGGCGGAGTTTGAAAGGGAATGTAAACACTTGGCTGGCAGCTCACACGGCCTGGTGCCCCGGGCATGTCCCAAGCACCATTTCTGCGGATAAGAAATGTCACCTGATTGCTGATTCCCACGTTGCTTTACTGAATCAGCTAAGCCTGACCTCCGGACCAGGCTGGTAACCCCTCCGGAAGGAAACGCCACTCGGGGATAGGCCACGTGGCTTCCGGTACCTGAGTTACACGCCAGTTCTTGACTCTAGATTCGATCACAGTTTCCAGAACTCTCACTGATCTACACACTGACCCCATGGGGCCTCCTTCTATCCCTTCTCGCAAACGCAGTGGCAGAGTCTGGTGTGGTTGCTTTGGTGGGCTCTGCGGTCCAGTCTGGCCTCGACCACTTAGTGGCCACGTGGCCTCGGGCAAGTCACTTCTCTGGACCTCGGTCTGTCAAGAATTCAGGCCTGCCCTTCCCAGCTGCCAGCACTCTTGAGGATCAGATACTGCGGAGAAACCCTCCGCCAATGCCAGAGGTGCTCTCGGTAGAATGCCTACTCCTCCCCCATCCGCTCAGTGCAGGTGACATAGATTTATTTTCTGGTTCCGTAAAAACCCTAGGAATTAGACCCAGGAAGCGGGACGGCCTTCAGGTGAACTGAGTGAAGCTGCAGAGATGAGGGCTTAGGGTCTCCCTAGGAGGGAAGGAACCAAACATTTCCTCTCTCGGCTACCTGGGAGCGCCTGTGCAAGTCCTGACAGTTGAGATCAGACTTCATTCCTCTTTGCTCCACTCCCCTCAGCACAAAGAGAGTTAATCGGCTTCAGAAGAGTTCCAGGCCAGGGTGCCTGGGGGGCTCAGTGGGTTGAATGTCCAACTCTTGATTTCGGCTCAGGTCACGATCCCAGGGTCGTGGGATCAAGCCCCTCGTTGGGCTCCGCACCAAGCGTGGAGCCTGCTTAAGATTGTCTCGCTTCGTCTCCCCTGCGTGCATGCTCACTCTAAAATAAATTAAAAAATGGGGCGCCTGGGTGGCTTAGTCGGTGAAGCGTCCGACTTTCGCTTAGGTCATGATCTCACGGTTCGTGGGTTCGAGCCCCGCGTCGGGCTCTGTGCTGACTGCCAGCTCAGAGCCTGGAGCCTGTTTCCGTCTGTGACTCCCTCTCTCTCTGACCCTCCCCTGCTCATGCTGTCTCTCTCTCTCTCTCTCCTGGAAATAAATAAAACATTAAAAAAATAATAATAAAAAAAATAAAATAAAATAAAATAAATTAAAAAAGAGAGCGAGAGAGAGAGACCCAGGCCATATAATGCCTTCACAGGAACTGTTGAGAAGAGACCAGGCTATATTGAGCCCGTTGGCTAAGAACATTCCTAAGAACCCCTTTGTCTTTTGAATACCCAGGAGCCAAAATAAAAGGCTCAGTCTGCGTTACTGTAGACATAAGAGTGTGACTGGATGGATTTTCACCCACTTTGGACAGCATATTGGGGATGGTCTGCCTTAGAACAGCTCCAGGGAGCCCCATGAGAGGTGCCAAGGATTTGGGCCATTGTCTTCAAAGCAGCCAAAAGTGACAAAGTGAGCCCTGTGTGGCTCGCCTCTGGGGAGAAAGATGCCCTACATGTCAAGATTTGATGGGCAGAGACAACGGGTTGGTTTCAAATTCAAAGTCGAAATCAAAGACCTGAATACACTTCAGAAGCCGTCTTTCTGTCCCTGGGTTCGAGACGTCCAGCTGAGAGCCCGGGTGGAAGACACTAGTTAGTTTGTTCTTTATTTTCATTGGAAAGTTATATGGTTACTTATCAACAAAACGACTGTCCAGGGCAGAGATATCCAGTGGTTTCTATGTACAGGGCCACCCCTGGGGTCCATACCTCCACAGAGGCCTCGCCCCTCGAGGCCTCAGTCGGCTCCTTCCCAGGCCTCCAGGAACCAATCACAAAGACACAAGGAACAAAAACCGGCCTGACCTCGGCACCTGCTTTCATCCCAAAGGGAGGTGGTGGCGCTGGGACGGGCCCCGGGCCTGTGTGCAGGGAGTGGGTGCAGGGGCCTCTCTCCTGGGAGCCTGCCCTTCATGCACCCCCTTCCCAGAAAGGCTGTCTTGGCCATTCCTGGGACTATTCTGACAGGCTCGTGGGTTCCCACTCTGGCCTCCTTTTCTCTCTAGTTGTCATTTTAACACCGAGGCATCCCAGCCTCCCATCTGGGAGGACAAGCATTGGCTCTGTCGCCTTTTCCTTTTGTCCCCGTTTTTCGTACAAAAACAATACTCTCGACCGGACCATTTTTTTGCTCAAGAAACAAAAGTGGCTCAACAGGTACAGTTCTGCTGGTCGATCTGCTTTCGGCAGGGTTCCATGGTGACGGCGACACCCACCCCGCTCCGGCCGGATGTCATGCGGGTCACCTCGCTCCAGGTGTCGGTGTCTGGGTCGTAACACTCCACGCTGTCCAGGAACGTGTGGCCATCGTAGCCTCCTGCAGGGCGAGCAGAGGACGCGGTCACCCCCTCGGAGGGCAGGGGAAGGGAAGAGGGGAAGGAACGGGAAGCCTTCCCGCTGGGATCTGAGCGCACCCCCGAAAGACGGGGCTGAGCAGTCATCTCCACCCAGGCGTCCACCCCCGGGCCTCACCGAGAACGTAGATCCTCCCCTGGTGCACGGTAACCCCCAGGGCGCTTCGCCGGTGCTTCATGGGGGCCACGAAGGTCCATGCCTCCGTCTCCACATCATAGCGCTCCACGCTGTTCAGCTGGTCCTGACCATCGTAGCCCCCCGCGGCATAGATGCAGTTGTGCAGGACACAGACTCCTAAACCGTACCGTGCAGAGAGGGTGACTCCGGGGCCTGGCATCGGGGGCCCCAGCCACCACCTTCTTGGGGGCGCCCTCCCGCTCCCCTCTTCCGGGGAACTCTTGAGAAACAAAGCCGCGAGAGAAGAGCTTGGACTCCGTCAGAACCTAGCTCTCCCGTGGGTGCCACGGGGTTTAAGACCGAAACAGGAAGCCTCCCCGGGCCCTGGCGAGCCTCTCCCCAGGAGTGGGAGGGTGTCCCTCCGTGCGCCCGTCGCGGCAGCCCCCACCCACCTGCCCCACTCCGGATGCTGTTCATGGGGGTGATCATCCGCCACTCGTTCCTCTCTGGGTAGTAACACTCGGCTGAGTTGAGGCGGTTTGTCCCATCAAAGCCCCCGACGGCATAGAGCAAACGGTTGAGGACGGCCACTCCCACCCCAATCCTGCGCGTCAGCATGGGGGCCACCAGGTGCCACTCGTCCCGCTCTGGCTCATACCTGCAGGGAATAACGATGACAATGGCAGTCACAGCTGACCGTGGTGGAATGCTTACTATGACCCAGTATGTGGCCAGTTCTGTAGGCGCCCGAGCTCTTTCATGGAAACTCATAGCTGTTCTGAGGGAAACTGAGGTTCACAGCGGCATCTGCTCAAGGCTACGGGCAGGTCTGCTGGCCTCCGGTGGCTACACCACTGCCGGGTCCTGTGCTGGGTGCCGCTTGTGTCACCTCACCAAAACCCTGCCTGGCCAGTTGGGCAGGCGTCTTCATCACCCTCTCCCATCGTCTCCAGACGACCAGACGGAAGCACAGAGGGACGAAACGGCACATCCGGGGTTGCCAAGGACGTGGAGCTGGGGTTTGACCCAGCCTCCTCGGACACCGGAGAAGGACACCGAGCAACTAGGCTACCACGCAGGGTGGTTGTTGTCAAAGTGTGGGCTTTACTTAAAATTCCCATTGCCCGGCCTCACTCCACACCCACCGCCGATGCCGGGTCTCCAGCAGCGGGCCATGGGGTTTGTTTTGACAAGTTCTCCAGGTGAGAACTGTATCCTGGATCACACTTCTGGAAGAGGAGAAGGCAGAGGGCTGGCTGTGCAAAAGCAGAATGCCCAACATACTCAGCTTCTAAACGCAGGGTCACCATGCAGTTGTGCAGGCTGTGCACTGCACGAGGGTACCATATCCAAGGGGCACCTTCCACACTGAACACCTCATACATCTGTTTATTATGGCAGTTTTGAGGCAGATGGCAGTGAGGTGTCATGGTAATAAAATTAGCATCTTACAGTAACTTTAAAAGAACAGAACTGTCTCCAAATCTGCAGAAAAAGAGCTGTATGGGTTTGTGACAGCCCTGTAGGTAATTCCCAGGCCCAGACACATCACCCAAGGCCCCTGACCGTACGTCTCCCAGGAATTCAGCTTCACCTTGGGGCTTCCACGCCCTGAACGCGGGGCAGAGAGACAGGCACTCGACGGCAGCGGGAGTCTCCCAGTCCCACTGGGCCGGGACCTGTTAGCAAGGGGACCCTTGGAGCCCACCCCTCCGGGCCCTGCGACTCACCTCTCCACACTGTTGTGGTGGATGCAGCCATGGGAGCCACCAACGGCATAGATGTGCCCGTCGATGACCCCGACGCCAATCCGATTGCGGGGCACGCTCATGGGGGCACAGGGCGACCACTGGTTGGTCATGGGGTTGTAGCAGTCCAGGGCGCTGGAGTCGGTGTTGCCGTCGGGCGAGTTGTTGCGCCCGCCCACGGCGTACAGCAGCCCGCCCACGACGCAGCCTGCCAGGCCGCTGCGAGGCACCTGCAGGTCTGCCAGTCGGAGCCAAGTGCCGTCACTGGGGTTGTAGGCCTCCAAGTAGCTGAGGGACTGGCGGAAGTAGCCGCCGGCGGTGTAGATGAGCCGGCCCACTTTGGGCGCGCGGCACGGCATCACCTGTGTGGGCTTATGCAGGGTGAGCTCCTGGAAGATCTTGACCAGGTAGTCCTTGCAGCGGGAGTCCGACTGCAAGATCTCGCACTTCTGCAGCTGCATCTGCAGGAAGTGGGGGGTCAGCGAGTGGCATCGCACAGCCCTGAGCAGCGCCTGCACGTAGAACCGCCGCTGCTCACAGTCGTACTTGACCCAGTTGATGCAGGCGTGGAAGACCTCGGACTCGCAGCGCACGTTCAGATCGTCCCGGCTGATGAGAGTCACCAGCTGGCAGTGGGACAGGTTGAAGAACTCCTCCTGCTTGGCCACCTGCAGAGGGCGTGACTGTGCCAGGCTGACTCCTGTATGCCGCTCCCCTGACCCCGCGACACAGTATCCTCTTGGGACAAGTGGCTCAACCTGCCTCTGACAATGTCAGCTGCCTATTTTGTGAAACGGGGACTCGAATAGTATGAACGCCATAGGTTGCAAAGATTAAATGAGCTTTATTAAATTAAATGCCGGGCATATGATATGTAAGTAGGCAGGTAAATGGGCAAAGACACGATGCACCACATAGCTTTCTGTATCATTTTGTTCTTGACCTACAAGATTACTTTTTTTTTTTAAACCAACTTACTTTTTCTTTCTTTTTTTTAAAGTTAATTTTTTTATTTTAAGAGCAACAGACTGTACAAGTGGGAGAGGGGCAGAGAGCGAGAAGGAGACAGAGAGTCCAAGCATGCTCTGCACTATCAGCGCAGAGCCCGATGCGGGGCTCGAACTCATGAAGCCCTGAGATCACGCCCTGAGCTGAAACCAAGAGTTGGCTGCTTAACAGACTGAGCCATCCAGGTGCCCCTGACCTTACTTTTTCAAAAGGGTAGATCAACTAAAAAGGAAAAAGTAAGAGCACTAGAATATTCTAGAAAAGTGTAGGCTCTAAAGAAGCCTGAGCTACAGTTTCGCCCACTAGTTTCTAAGCAGGTGACCTTGCACAAAATACCCGAAATGTTCCACACCTTGGCTTTCTTCCTCGGTAAAAGGGGGTTTGTACTAGCAGCTACTTCACAGCTGGGCTAGGCAGCCAACTAGGGGAGCCAGGGCCCCGGGCAAGTGTTTCTTGTCAGGTACCAGTCTATAAAAATAATTTTAGTCACCCCACATCAGCAGCTCACCACTGCCCTGGCCCCCCAAGCCTGTACAACCCCTTTTAAGAAACATTATACAGGGGGCGCCTGGGTGGCTCAGTTGGTTGAGCATCCGACTTCGGCTCAGGTCACGATCTCACAGTCTGTGGGTTCAAGCTCCTCATCAGGCTCTGTGCTGACAGCTCAGAGCCTGGAGCCTGTTTCAGATTCTGTATGTCCCTCTCTCTCTGCCCCTCCCCAGCTCGTGCTCTGTCTCTCTCTGTCTCAAAAATAAATAAACGTTAAAAAAATTTAAAAAAAAAAAAGAAAGAAACATTATACAGGTCTGTGGGAAAGCCCTGCTCACAGACCACCTTCCTGGAAGCCATAGGCCTGGGGAACCAGTGCCAGAGGTCCTCAGGGCATCCAGTCAACCCCACATATGGGGCAGAAGGGAGGAGAACATCTGTCCCTTAAGGAAAGAAATGGAGGGGCGCCTGGGTGGCTTAGTTGGTTAAGCGGCCGACTTTCGCTTAGGTCATGATCTCGCGGTTCGTGGGTTCAAGCCCCGCATCGGGCTCTGTGCTGACTGCCAGCTCAGAGCCTGGAGCCTGTTTC